TAGATGAGTGGCGTATACTATATGAAATAGAATAAATGAAATTGAAGGGAGGGAGAGGAGGATTAAGGTAAATTGAAGGCGAACGTTCTCCATTTTCGGGGAGGCGAATGAACAGGGAAGGGAAGAGCGGCATGGTCAACGTTATCTCGAGGAAAGGAAGGGAAGGGAAGGGAAAGATGAATTAAAAGCCTGAGAGGCAAGTGTACTGCACCCTTCGCGGGACGGAGGCTGGGGAAGGAAGGAAGAGGAAGTACCGTGCACTGGTAGAACATTTTTATCTCGAGAAAGGAAGGAAAGGAAGGGAAGGGAAAATAAATGAAAAGCCTGAGAGGCAAGGGTTACTTCCACTGAGAAAACTTGAAAGATATCTCTCGGCGCTCGGAACGTTCTCGATTTTCGAGACTGAGGAACGAAGGAAGAAGGAAGAGCGGCACCGTGCACTGGCAGATCGTTTTACTTCCACTGAGGGAAAGAAGAAGAAAAAATGAAAAGCCTGGGAGGCAAGGTTGAAGGGAACTGTTACTTCCACTGAGAGAACTTGAAAGATTTAAAAGCCTGAGAGACGAGTTTACCCCTCACGGAACGGTCTCGATTTCCGCGGAGGAATCGCGAACGCGCATGGAGGAAGAAGGAAGAAGGAAGAGCGGCACCGTGCACTTGCAGATCTTTTTTATCTCGAGAAAGGAAAGAAGGGAAGGGAAAATAAATGAAAAGCCTGAGAGGAAGGGGACCGTTAGATCCGCTGAGAGAGGCGAGTGGACCGTATATGTACCCCCGCGGAACGTTCTCGATTTTCGAGACTGAGGAAGAAGGAAGAGCGGCACCTTGCAGATCGTTTTACTTCCACTTAGGGAAAGGAAGGGAAGGGAAAATGAATTAAAAGCCTGAGAGGCAAGTGAACTGTTACTTCCATTGAGAGAACTTGAAAGATAAAAGCCTGAGAGGTGAGTGTACCCCTCGAGGAACGTCCTCGATTTCCGCGGGGGGAATTACGAACGCGCACGGAGGAAGAAGGAAGAGCGGCACCGTGCAGAACGTTTTTCAAGAGAAAATAAATTGAAAGCCTGAGAGACTTGTACCCTGGCGGAACGTTCTCGATTTTCGAGGGGGGAACGAACGCGCGAACGACACCGTCAACAGAAAACGTTAGTACTTCCGGGGAAAAACTAAAAGCCTGAGAGGCTTGTACCCTTGCCGAACGTTCTCGATTATCGACTCCAGGAACCAACGCGCATGAAGGAAGATCCACGTCAGAAAAGAGAACGTTTCTTGTACTCTGGTGGGTCTGGACTGATGCAGGGCCCGGGACTACCGAAGAGAACAGAACAGAACAGAACAAACGCAATCATTCGCGCACGTCCAAAAATTCTCCGCCCCCTGCGCACGTTCGTTTGCGCGTCGTTCAAATGTGATGGGAATACAGAACCTGTTAACCCGGGTTCCGAAACATCCCGAAGTGGGGGGGGCGGCGCCAAATTGGGAATAGGGCAGAATAGGCGGGCAGATTAGGAATCGCGGGGCCCAAATTAGGGGTTGTGCGCGACACGATACGTAAGGGGATGGGCTTGAACGGACGCGACGACGTCGGGATTGAGGATTTGCGAGTTGCGACTGCCCGGGACTCGGGACGGGCTGCATTCTCCTTGCCTCTCGGATCGCTCTCTACGCGGGTGCGGTGCCAATCGTTACTAGTCTGGTGGAGTGCGTGCATCCTATCCGCGCCACGGGAGCATGAAACGACAGCCAGCACCACCAAAAATTTTAATCTATTATTCATTTGTTTTGTTTTTTTGAGCAGATTGATTGCAGTGTGCGTACGCCGTACAGGGGGCGCGGGGGGTGATGCCGAGCCCGCTCCGCCCGCACCACCGTCATAAATGCGCCGTAAATATCGCACGCCGGGCCCACCCGCGCGCCCGGACAGCTGCCACCAATTACTCGATAATTGCGCCTTGGCGCGTTCGTCGAAAATTGGATCCGACGTCGGTCGGTCCGCGTCTCCTCACTGGCAGATAGATGGCGAGATTGAGAGATTGAGATTGCGCTTTAAATTGCAGGCAACCGCGGTGAGAATTGCGACAGGGAGTACGCGGAACATTCGGATCCACCGCTGAAATATTTATTCGGCGGGGTCGGGCGTCGGGACGGGTCGCTCACATCATCAGCTCAGCTGTTTCAACATGTACAAGAAATCGGTGATGGGGCGGGAACATCCGGCGGGCAGATATCATTCCGCGTTACAAACCAGTGGCATAACACACCTGCAGTGTAATAAAACGCGACGGGAGCGCGGAACACTCGGCGGGCGCTGAAATATCATATTAATCAATTCGGCGACGTTGAAATATTTATTCGGCGGGGGGGGCGTCGAGGGGTGCCGGTCGCCACTTACCAAGTAACAAGTACAAGTAACTCCTCCAGTTTGAGTTTCAGAATACATTTATCTGCAAGTCGTAAAGTCCAAGGAACAACGTCATATGATCGTGATGGCGGGGTGCGTGATGCTGATGCGGCACAGGCGACCTTGGCCATTGAGTCCGCGTCGAGCAGGCAGGCACAGCGGATCTTGGATAGAATTTCAAATGGTGTGCGCCAGTGGTGGCGTCAAGAGATAGATATGTCACCCGACAAGATGTATAACTTGAACTTGGAATGCGCACCAGTCCGAAGATACCCGACGCGGGTCGTAGGTCCGATTCCGAGAAGCTGCTGCGGAGCACGGGGACAAAAAAAAGTCGAAAGCAACGAATATAATTGCGCTCATCGCTATGGGGTCGTATTTTCGGGCTGACAGCGATCTGCTGCTGCGCACGAGTGCAGAAAAATGACATATCACGCCCGCAAATAGCATGTAATTGTGCGAGGGTGAGTTGCGATTGGTTTGTATCACCGACGGTGTGTGCACCAGACCCCTCCGCCGCCGCGGAAATGTAAACACACTGCCGCGTCGAGGAGCAGAAGATGTGACACTGCGCGCACAAAATAACGCGCACTTCGCGCGATAGGGATTCAGATGCGTGCCGTTGAATAGAGAAGTGCGACGGGGAAGAGTTGGGTGGCCGGAGAGGGCTTCAGAAGCCAGAGCCTGGAGAACCGATCTCGACCCAGCATCAGGGTGAGAATGGCACAAGACACGAAACTTTCGGGACGATCCTGGGCTGGATGTCTATAATTCAACACAGGCCCGAAGCACGGCCGAGGGAGAAGCCAGACCAAATCATGTCGCCGCGGATGACAGAAAATATCAGCGAGTCGGAGACAGGTAGAGTCGCGGGAGGACTGAATTCGTCATGCCGAGAGCGGATCTCGGGGTTTACATCCAGGTGGAGGGTAGGGGAAATTGGGAAATAGAGGAAATATAACGTCACGCCAGTGGGAATTAACAGCTCCAAGAACCACACGAGAGAACCAAAAAGCCAGCGAGCTTCCGGGATGCAGATCCCGGAGGTCGAGGGAAAATTCATAAGGTACGGCGTTCCCGGGCGGAGATGGGCCGCAAGTTCCACCACTCGCCCGCACGAAGGGGGCCTGGCATTATTGGCCTGGGATATCAACCAGAAACATCCAGTGTGCGGGGCGTCGCACGGCTTCCTTGCATCTACGGCATGTGTGTATCACGCACCTTGGCAGATTGTAGGAGGCCAGGCGCGTGCACAAGAAGTGATCCCCAAGAAATGCATATCAACAATGGCAGATTCTCGATAGACAAGCCTAGTTTAGCGTGAATACATACCATTGAGTCTGGGAAGATCCCCAAGCAAAGAGTATGTTGGGGATACGCGAATAGAGTTTGTGCTGATGTGATGCGGCAGGCACAAGATAAGCTCATGGAATGCCAGTCGGGTGCTTTCGTCGCGCCACGCGCGAATGCTGCGTTGCAGAAACGAAATAGAGAAGATGGTTCAACTTGGAGAAAGGTAAACTGCGCCACAAGATTTGAAACTCCGCCCGATCTTTTCATAGACTTTCATTCGGAACTTCCAAGCACGACTTGAACGTCTCCAGTGGCCTCGCCTCCATCACATTTTTTTACAATTTTTCAAGCCTTACATTATTTCGCTGCGTGCTGGTCGGCGGCCTACTCAAAGTTCAAGTTCACGCTTTCAACTGGCACCCGGAGTTTCTCGACCCTGAGGCTTACGGCAAGAGCCATGCTATTACGGTGCCACTAAACAAGTCCCGCTCTGCTTTGAAATAAATTCTGGAGGGAGGAACGTCGCTCGTTCTTTAAAATGGCTGCAGCCCATGCGGTCTGTCGTTCATACACACCGTCAGATCGCCCGCCCTCACCGAGGCACGTTGACCCTAGATCTTGCGTTACATTTCTTAGCGGAGACCGTTCGGGGGATCTGAAAAGTCATGCACCCCGTGGCACGTTGGCTCTAGATCTTGCGTTACATTTATTAGCGGGGACCTTTCGGGGGATCTGAAAAGTCGGAACATATACTCGCGTCCGAGGTTCTTCATGCGAGAAGACAGCCAGCCGGAACATTATGAGAAGGCTCGCCTTCTTGACCGCCAGTGCTACGATGATGCTCCTGCGGTGTTCGGACAGCTAAAGAATCTCTACACTTGTTATCGCGTACTGCCTTCATGGCCAAAGGATGCTGATAAACTTCAGGATATCCAGAGCCTGAGGCCAGTGGACGCGCGCGAGCTCTTGTGCATTTCTCGAGTTCTTGCTATTCCTAAGCGTTTCTCGGGCCAAAAGACCTACCGCTGCCATCACCAAAACTGCCGCAAGGTCTCGGGTTCAATTCCCGGATGGGTCCCTTTGATTTACATAGTACATCTTCACGTACGTAGAATATTCTTGCCATTCATTTCTCGACCCAAAAGAAAACAAAAGGCAATGGGCCCAACCGGGAATTGAACCCGGGACCTGGCGGCAGACCAAACTGATGACGGTGGTAGTCCCTTTCGACTTACATACATATTTTCACATATGCAGAATGTTCTTGCCATTCCCGAGCATTTCTCAACCCAAAATAAAAAGAAATGGGCCCAACCGGGAATTGAACCCGGGACCACACACAGTCACATGACTCGAAAGTCACGGGATTAAACCCGAAGCGTGTATCATACTTCTAGACCATTGGGCCGATGACGACCGTCCTTCAATAATATATTATTATGAGCGCAGCGACATTCGTCGAAATCCGCCGGCACTCTCTACTTTATAAATTACAAGTATCTATCTAGGATGTAAACATCCCCGATAGACCTAATGAGAAGGGTACGGAATAACACAATGTATCTAAAGCATGTTACGGAGGTCTTTCATGTTCCACACTATATTCTACTCAAGGTGGCCACAATCAGACAGTACTTCGAATTTCGACCCGCCTTGTCGCTGGTTCCTTTGTTCCATTCCGATAAAATTTAATTATATGGACGGGCCTCCATTCCGCGGAAGCACTCTATCACAGCGAACGTATTATATGTGCACGACCCTGGGTCTTATCTTCACCGTACCGTACCCGCGATTGCGAACGGCGATCCTGATTCAGGTGCTGTTGGTTGCTATCATGATCATACAGGTGCTGGCGGAGTCAAGTCAGAGGAAGGATCGCGATCTGCGGGCGCGATCCCATTGTCCGCCGCATTGGGTACTGAGTCATCCTGCGTGTCGCTGTCAGTACCAGGCACTGCGTCTGTGGGCACAGCAGCTGTATTGTGCGCTTCCGACTGCGCAGGTTGTGACGTAGGCGCAGGGGCCAGAGGGGGGGACGCCGGGACAGATGCAGGTGCGGGCATAGGGGTGCCAGGCGCGGGTGTAGTGTGCGCTGAGCGCGTAGGCGTGCTCGCGCCCAATGGGTCTTCGAACACTTCCCCGTTTGCAGGTGCAAGGCTTTCAACCGATCCAGCCATCGCCTCCGGGGGTAGCGCAGGCAAGGGGCTCTCCGGGCGCGGGCTCTCAGCCCGAGGGCTTCCAGGGTCTACCTGTCGGAACCCAGCCGCAGCCATCGGGTCCGGCACACTCAGCAGTGGCAGTGGCGGCGGCGACTTCGTGCCATTTACACTCGGCGCGGGGCTCGTAGCGGCCGACGGGGTGCTGCTGCTGGGGCCGCTTCCATTCACGCTCGAACTGGGATTTTGGTTGCCGTTCCCGCTCGCCGCAGGGGCGAGCGAATTCCACCGGAGACGGTTGGCGAGAAGACGCGGGTTCGAGGCGGGGTTCGCATTGGCGTTTGATTTCGCGTTAAAGTTTGTTGCGCTTGCGGACGGCGAAACGGGCTGTGGGACACGTAGCTCCGCAATGACGATCTCGAGCATCCCGCTTGGCGTGCCGACGTTTTTTAATTCTGAAAGCTTCTGGTGCAAGAACCGCGCATCCACAAGGAGGCTACATTAAATCAGATGTTCCGTCATGTTACGGAATAAAAACGCAACCGCACCCCTTGCGCGCATCTTCATTCGGCAATACTAGCTTCCCGTACTCTTCTGACAGGCGGTGGTTAATCGCTGCAAACACCTGCGTCATCACGTCCTAACAGCAGCGGAAACGCGATTTGGAGTTAATCAGCAATGGGGTGCCTCGCGCAGCTAAATTCTTCACCTCAACAACCGCCACCGAGAGGTGGCGCGAGAGCACCTTGTGAAGGGTGACTGTTTCCCGCACCAAGACCGACATGTATGCGTTGACACCCTCTCGTGGCACATTCCAGTCGACGGCCTGTGGCGATTAGGTAAGCAGCTTGAGCAGCAGCACATGCTGCATGCGCACCTGGAACGTCCGGATATGCGTGCTGAGCCGGTCACCCATAATTGCAATCAGCTTCGCGTGGATTTCGTTCTGGTGCTCCTGGTAGTCCTGCCGTTACACACGTTTCAGAAGGGACGGATGAAATGGAGTGTGTAATGCGCACCCGCTTAAGCTTGTCAAACTCCACGAGCATAACGGCCTGCTTTTGGCTAAGATGCCGGCGGAACGTCTCCCGCACGTAGGGAATGAGCGCGATCATAATGGACAACGACTGCGACGCCAGCGCTGTCAGACAGTCAGGGTACCGCATGGACGGAAGAGAAAGGCTGTATACGTACCGAGATGTTTCGCGGTGATGTTTTTGAGGCCTGCGGAGCGCATTGCGCCTGCACCGAGAACGACTTGACATGTCCGCGAATTGAAAGCCTTTAGAAACTCGATCACGCGGCTCATGGTGTCGGTCGTGAGCATGGACAGGTTCATGATAACGCGCAGGTAGTCCAGCAGCAGTGCAAGCGCCTCCGACGTAGCCGACACGGCCGAAAATGTACGTTCTTCAATACGCAAACGGGTCTTCGCGTTCTTGGTTGCAGAGGAGCCGTTGGTGCGCTTCGCAGAAGGAGCAGAAGGCGAGGATGGGACGCCGTTTATAGAGTTCGTGGAGGATGCGGGAGTTAGGCTGGTCGATGAAGAGAGACTCGGCAGTGACGTCGCTGATGGGGAGGGTATGGGAACAGTCGGAGCAGCCCCGACGACAACCAGGAGCTCAGGCACGTCGCGAACGGCAGAGTCGACCAGTACGTCGGTGATATGCTGGATCGGAGGCGTCGCGTCTGTTTGCTCCCACTGTTCGTTTTCCACCAGGCTCGCGGACTGGGTCAAACGCGCCTGATGGAAAGTTTGCAGGAAGGTTTTGGACTAGTGATCATGAGAGACCGGCGCCCGAAAGCTTTTATTCAATTCGCGCACCTGGCTGATAACCACACCTCGGAGTCCAACGATCATCTTGCGACATATGACCTCGCATTTGACCACAAAAGACCATGAATCGTTGAAGAAGGCGAAAAATTCAGACAAACTCAGCACAGCGTGCTGTTCCGCGCGCATGAGGATTAATTTTGCCGCTTGGGTGTTCGAAAGTTCTGCGGCAGAGCCGAGGATGTCGGAGAGTTCCTCTTCGAGGGCGGCAGTATTAGGTGGGGTTTTCGTACTAGAGCAGATTAACTACAATGCTTCAAGCCGAGGGCAGGGCGTACCTTGTTTTCTCGAGAACCTCTAGGAAAGCAGTTCCCTGTGCACGTAGGCCCTCGACAGCGTTCAAAAAACTCTTATAAATAGCTTGTATGAGCTCTAAGAATTCCGGGTGTGGCATGTTTCGCAGATGGTTAGCAAGTCCAGGTCTAAAATGGTTTAATTATGGGTATGGCGCGCACAGGAACAGGTTACCTTGGCGTGTTTCCACCGCCATTTGCGCTCGGTGTGGGGGACCGAGATTCCTCATCCGTAATATCAAACGCCGGGATATGCTAAAAGAAACAAATCAACAAGCTGGAATGAGATCAAGAAGCCAAACCGCTCACCCGTCGAATTACTCCACGCACTTCGTCTAATACAACTTCTCGCCATGAAAGTGTCGCCTCTCGCACACCTTTGGTTCTTGCTAGTCCCTGCAATAACGGTCGCAGCCGATCTTTCAGGCTCTGGGTGCTACTATCTGGACTAGAAGGCACGCCTGTGCTGATACGTTCCAGGAGGTCAACGCGCAGAACCGAGACGAGTTCAGCCGACAAGGAAGAGGTGATTTCCATCGTCAGAGTGCGCAAGTGCGCCGGCAGTGCAGCAAACGCACTGAGTGAGGACAGAGGTATTATTGGCGGAGGCGAAGCTGGTGAGGGAGGGGGTCGTTCTTCCGGTGTTGGAGGAAGTGATGATAGTCTCCCATTTACGCTTCCGTGCAACTTCGTATACGAGGAAGACCTTGCTGGTATGGGTGCAAGAGGTTCCGAAGCTGGAGCACCCTCCCACAACCGCTCCATGTCCTCCAAGACCCCCAGAGCCTGGTCCCACTGGCCCGCAGCCACCAGCCCCTTTGCCACGGCCGTCATTTCCACCACCCCACCGACGAATTTGACCCCCTCCCGCACTTTCCCGAGATTTCGCATCCTGCTTCCCTTCCGCACCACTTCCAGACCCTTCTTCGCTCCCTTCTCGTCTACATCCTTGAGAAGCGTACGAAGCTTGGATATTCGATCCAGGCATTCTTCTGATTCGCTTTGCAGCTCGTGCAGGTTTGTTAGTGCGGCAAAGAATGATGCAGAGCGGAGAGAAATCTCGCGGACAAGGTGCTGTTCAACGGTGTCCGCATAGTGAGAGAATTTCTCCAGTAGAGGTAATGAGTATGAGAGCGCCGTGGGATCAGCGGCAGGGTCGTGGCCAGGCGAATCTTGCTCCGTGACAGCATTGAAGGTGCGAGGATCCCCAAGATTGAAGGCGGGCTGGAAGAATACTGAGGGAACCACGTCCAGCGGAGGTAGTGGCCTGCCCGGCGTCTGGGCAAACGGGCCACTCGAAGATGAAGCCCGGGGCGTTGAAGACCCCTCCAATTGGAGTTCCGCCTCTCGATTGAGTTGGTTGCTGTGTTCCAAACGCTCCCATTCTGGAGTGACGGCGCGGAGGTACGAATCGAAATCTTTCCGGCGCACACGAGGCAGATCTGCCGAGGCAACGGCTGGTAGTGAAGAGTGAGCTTTCGGAGGAGCCTGCCGCTTGTGCGGGTTATTTAGTACGGTGGAAATGGCTGCGCGGCGGGTGAGATATTATACGAGCGTGGAAATTGACACGTACCGTGGAAGCCATGAGTAGAGCTGCTCCACTGGGCTGGTAGTGCACCAAGGGCAAGACTTGCGGAGGAGTTGTTGAATAGGTTCAGACGCGACGGGCCTGCAAAGTAATCCCGCCCTTCGGTAGTGCCAGAAACACTTTCTGGACCTCTCTGGGCGGGATCCCAGTTGAATCGAAATGGGCGAGCAGTGGGAGGTAGCGGAGATACTGGGGAGTCGGGCCTGGATAGATTTGAAGAGGAATGGTCCGACATAGAAATTACGGACTCCGAGTTGCCAGCCAGGACCAAGGGACGTGCCGCCGTTTCCCATCATGTTTGGCGCTGACCTCCGCCACAAACACAATGCAAATCCCTCCGGTCATTGCCCATGCATTCTCCATTTTTCCTCTGCACACCTTTCCCGCGATAAAGCCCCAGTCAGGCAGACACCCAGATGTCCCAACGATCTGGATTCATCCCCCGCGCGCTTTACGCCTCAGCACGGATGTCGAATGTCTTAAATGGCAGGCATATCTTGCTCTTCGCGGGCTGTCGAAAATAGCAGTTCGATGTGA